ACACAACAACAACAACATCAACTACAACAACATCAACAACAACTGCAACAACAAAACGTAACAACAACAACGTTCACAAACGAACTCAGCTACGTTAATACTACTTCTGGCGCTGACGACAACATCAACAACAACATCAACAACGGCAGCAAAAGCAGCAGCAGCAGCAACAACAACAACATTAATAACAACATTAACAATAACAACAACCACAACAACAACAACGACTACCCGGACTTCGGTTACGTCAACTTTGTCAATGATGAGGATGGCGAGAGTCATTTCTGCTTCGAGTGTAATAGAACTTTTAAAAGGTAACCACAAATTCATTCATTCATTCATTCGCTTATTCGTTCGTTCGTTCGTTCATTCATTCATTCATTCATTTATTTGTCCATTCAATCATTCAGCAATTTCACTGAAAAATCAATAGATTCTTTCATACATTCATTAACTCATCTATTACTGATTGATTGATTGATTGATTAATTGATTAATTGATTGATTGATTCATTTATTCATTCATTCATTAATTCATTCACTCAGGGCCATCTACCTTCGAAGACACGTGACCAGAGAACACTGGACGACGGCGAAACTCTTCAAATGCGATATCTGTGCTTACGAGACCAAACATCAGAGTAACCTACTCGTACATAGACGGACGCATACTGGTTAGGAGGAGGGTGAATGAATGAATGAATGAATGAATGAATGAATGAATGAATGAATGAATGAATGAATGAATGAATGACTGAATGAATGAATGAATGAATGAATGAATGAATGAATGAATGAATGAATGACTGAATGACTGAATGAATGAATGAATGAATGAATGAATGAATGAATGAATGAATGAATGAATGAATGAATGAATGAATGAATGAATGAATGAATGAATGAATGAATGAATGAATGAATGAATGAATGAATGAATGAATGAATGAATGAATGAATGAATGAATGAATGAATGAATGAATGAATGAATGAATGAATGAATGAATGAATGAATGAATGAATGAATGAATGAATGAATGAATGAATGAATGAATGAATGAATGAATGACTGA